CCCCCCCCCCCCCCCCCCCCCCCCCCCCCCCCCCCCCCCCCCCCCCCCCCCCCCCCCCCCCCCCCCCCCCCCCCCCCCCCCCCCCCCCCCCCCCCCCCCCCCCCCCCCCCCCCCCCCCCCCCCCCCCCCCCCCCCCCCCCCCCCCCCCCCCCCCCCCCCCCCCCCCCCCCCCCCCCCCCCCCCCCCCCCCCCCCCCCCCCCCCCCCCCCCCCCCCCCCCCCCCCCCCCCCCCCCCCCCCCCCCCCCCCCCCCCCCCCCCCCCCCCCCCCCCCCCCCCCCCCCCCCCCCCCCCCCCCCCCCCCCCCCCCCCCCCCCCCCCCCCCCCCCCCCCCCCCCCCCCCCCCCCCCCCCCCCCCCCCCCCCCCCCCCCCCCCCCCCCCCCCCCCCCCCCCCCCCCCCCCCCCCCCCCCCCCCCCCCCCCCCCCCCCCCCCCCCCCCCCCCCCCCCCCCCCCCCCCCCCCCCCCCCCCCCCCCCCCCCCCCCCCCCCCCCCCCCCCCCCCCCCCCCCCCCCCCCCCCCCCCCCCCCCCCCCCCCCCCCCCCCCCCCCCCCCCCCCCCCCCCCCCCCCCCCCCCCCCCCCCCCCCCCCCCCCCCCCCCCCCCCCCCCCCCCCCCCCCCCCCCCCCCCCCCCCCCCCCCCCCCCCCCCCCCCCCCCCCCCCCCCTTTGTTCCCCCCACCCCCCCCCCCCCCCCCCCCCCCCCCCCCCCCCCCCCCCCCCCCCCCCCCCCCCCCCCCCCCCCCCACCCCCCCCCCCCCCCCCCCCCCCCCCCCCCCCCCCCCCCCCCCCCCCCCACCCCCCCCCCCCCCCCCCCCTCCCCCCCCCCCACCCCCCCCCCACCCCCCCCCCCCCCCCCTCCCCCCCCCCCCCCCCCCCCCCCCCCCCCCCGCCCCCCCCCCCCCCCCCCCCCCCCCCCCCCCCCCCCCCCACCCCCCCCCCCCCCCCCCCCCCCCCCCCCCCCCCCCCCCCCCCCCCCCCCCCCCCCCCCCCCCCCCCCCCCCCCCCCCCCCCCAAACCCCCCCCCCCCCCCCCCCCCCCCCCCCCCCCCCCCCCCCCCCCCCCCCCCCCCCCCCCCCCCCCCCCCCCCCCCCCCCCCCCCTCCCCCCCCCCCCCCCCCCCCCCCCCCCCCCCCCCCCCCACCCCCCCCCCCCCCCCCCCCCCCCCCCCCCCCCCCCCACCCCCCCCCCCCCCCCCCCCCCCCCCCCCCCCCCCCCCCCCCCCCCCCCCCCCCCCCCCCCCCGGTCGGCTCTCGTGCCACATCATACACTCTTGTCTACCACACATTGCCTCTGTCTAGCGCAGTGTTTGGCACAGAGGAAACACCTGTTTATTTAGTTAAACAAAGGAGTTAACAGACTTTCTCATTTATTTACAACAACCCTTTGAGGGTTATTGTAGAAAAAAACTATTCAATTTACTGATCTTAAGACTTGTGCTAGAAAGAGCTCAGGACTGGAGATGGCTGATTTTCTAGCCTGTACCAGACTAAAGTTGAGGTATGGTTATGACTGGGCTATAAGATGCTAAGATACTTAATTTAGAAATTATTTCTAGGTATGTCTGTGAGGATGTTATTTGAGTGAGATTAACATTTCAGTAGACTGAGTAAAGATTGCCTTCCCCATGTGGCTGAGCCTTCTGTAATCCACTGAAGACCTGAATAAAAAGTTTTGAACTGGGTCATTGGGTCTTCTGCCCTCAGACTCAAGACTATAACCAGAGCATACACCATTGGCTGTCCTTATTCTTAGACCCTCCGATTTGGACTAGAACTAAACCAACTCTCGTGGGTCTGCAGCTTGCTGACTACAGATCTTGGGCTTCTCTCTAACCATATGAACCAATTCCTTATAATAAATCAATCTTTAATACACTCACCCCACCACCAGTTGGTTCTACTTCTGAAGAATATTGTTTCTTTGGAGAACCCAGACAAATACAATCCCTCAGGTTTGATGACTCAGTAGGACTTAAAGGACTGGCATTTCTTATAATCATGGAGTTTACTATATCGCAAGGAAACAAAAGCAGAATCAACAAAAGGAAAAGTTGAATGGGTAAAGTCCAGAAGAAATGAGGCACAAACTTCTAAGAATTGTCTTTCAGTGGAGTCACACAGAATATACTTAGTTTCCCCAGCAATGAGTTGTGACAATGCATATGAAAAGTCACCAACCAAGGAAGCTCCCTAAAGACTGCCCCAGAAGGCTGGTCACATAAGCACTTCCTACTAGCACAGTAAAACTTCAGAACCCCAGAAGGAAAAGTAAGTGCTCACCATAAACCATATTGTTTGCACGCTATAGCAGTGATCCACTCATCATTTAGGGAATGGTGGAAGTTCTGCAGTCTAAATTCCCAGATGCCATCCAGAGGCCAACCTTGTAAAACAACCTTTTAAAAGGCTAGCTATGTTAACTCTTTTCTGCACAGGGACAGTTTCAGCTGAAAACTAAATCTCTTAATTCTGTGCCTGGTAGTATTATATTACATTAAAAATGATTCATGGCTGTATTTGACAATGGAATGAGGGTAATAGTGGTAACAGGAAATTATGGTGCATTCTTGCTGAATAGTTTTGGGGCCAAAAGAGGTTAGAAGCTGAGGGATTTATGTCTAGTTAAAACTCCTGTAAGCCTTATTAAATCAATGGAGTACAGATGCCAAACTGATAACTAATACCCTAAAGATGGCTTAACAATTCTTTACTCTTGATATTAGGTACTATCTGATTAATATAATCATTTTCAATGAACCCAGTACCAATAGCAGTTCTATAAATGTCCAGTCACCTTACAAATATATTATTAATCTTCACAACAACCTTGCAAATTAGTATTAACCACATTCAACAGTCTAGAGTTTTGGAAACAGATTCACAAAGGGTAACTTGCTCAGTCTCAAGTCTTAAAAATGGCTAAACTGACATTCTATCAAGTCTGTATTTCCCACTACACCTCAAAACTTCCTATTATATACTCATATGAAAGATATGTTTAAAGGGGCTCACTTCTGAGGATTTGGAAGCCCTCCTAGCCACTGAATGACTCCCTGCTCTGCCACATTTCAAATCTGGCCTCAGGTCTTGAGATCAGAACTTTCTACCAATATCAAGCTCAGGCTCATGTTGTCTTGTGATTGGAATCACAGACAGCCTTGTTTTAAAACGAGTGTGTCATCAAAGAAATTAAAAACAGTCCTACAGATGTTTACTAAAAATGTTTTCTGGAATGTGTAATTAACAAGAGCTCTCTGAAAAGCAATTCCCCTCTACTAGATTTTCCCTTCTGAGTGTTTATTTGATCTCTACCACCAGCACCACATAATTGCGTAATCTTTCCATCGTCATACTTACTGAGCACCCTCCCAAAGACTAAGCTGTCCTTCTGTAAGCACTTTAATCAAAATATCAGTTTAGCTCTAAGATGCTGAGAAGCCCATTCCTTTTAAAGGGGAACATGCATAAATGTGCAGAGAAAAATACACTTTGGCCTAAAATACACTATGATTTAAAATCTGGAATGTTGTAGGGGAAGATGAAAGGCAATTTCTGGTTGATTTTTTTTTTTTTAAACATGGAGGGTGGAGCAGAGGAAGGAAATGGGAGTAGAAAGTTAAATTCTGGTACTTTTCTGGACGTCTTAATCATTTCCAAAGTGTAAAAAGACAGAAATGTTTCATTAAAATTACTATAAGTATACATCCTTTCATGGGAGGTATCTGAAGTTTAGCAGGTTATCAAAAAAGCAATTAAAATGGAACGTAAACTTCATATTCGTGTGTGTATGCCCATCAAGACACACGTGTACAAGCACAAGTGTATGTGTGTGTATTTTGCTGGAGATTGACTATCCCCACCACCAGCTCCAAAATTGCCATTTGTGGTACAGGAAATGTATTTTCGTGCATTTCTCTTATAAAGTAAGCATGTCTTAAATCTGTCCCTGAGGAATTTCAGACAGGTACATTAGGTATGGACGGGATTAAACCCATCCCCAGTCTTGAGCACAGTCACCAAAGAATTTCCCCTACTCATTTGCTTTTGACCCTACACTGAAGTCTACCTTCTGAGCAGGGGTGGGTAGAAGGCGGGCCTGAGATGCTCTCAAGTTACAGCCTTTCCTCCTCCCTCAGGAAGTAAAGTCCACTGGCAGGAATGCCTAAACTGGGCCGGCCCTCTTGGGCTCCACAATGCTCACTTGTCTTCACAGTGCAGAGGAATGAAATGTCTTAGAAAAAGAGTAACATTCTAGGAAACACAGTATAATTTATTTTCCCTCCTACGTTGCTTTGTTGGTGGAGGACTCCTTCGCTGAACCGACATCAGAGGTAAGATGGAAATGGGATTGTGCATTGCATTGCTTTTCTACAGGGTCTGAGATTACTGACACATCTCCCCCATCCAGCCTGCTCACCAGACAGCCATTCCACACATTCTGCTGGTTGATTCTTTTCCAGAATGAAACAGCCTGCCTTCAGCTACAGTGGAAATTGAGTGCTGCACACCTTCCTTAGAACATTTGCATTTTCTTTTCACGTCTTCTCCTCATATACTGAACTCTAGGTTAGCAGACACTGGGACACTTCCATCCTAAACACTTAAGCATGTCCTCCTAAGAACAAGACGATCTCTTGCAGAACCCTGAGACCTCCATCATAACCAAAAGATTTAACCTCAACAGTACCCTCTATTCTACATGCCATATTTAACTTTCCCTAACTGACCTCTCCAACTTTTTTCTGATACAGGATTTATTCAAGCCACAGGTATCGCACTAAGTTTCTTAAAATAGCTACAATGTAGCAAGGCTATATAAAGGGACTTCCTAAACGTAAGGTGCCCTCCTTTTTTTCATTCCTCTACAATCAAGGCTGGCCCATAGGACCAGGAGAGTGCCACAGCTTCCCCTAGAACTGGCTGGCAGCCCCGGGGAAGACTGGACCACAAGGGAGGAGAGGCCACTTCTCAGTCAGGAGTTCAGGACTTGCAGTTAACGGAGCTCTTAAATCGGCCAACTTCACACAAAAATACAGGTTTGTGTGTGTGTGTGTTTATACCAGAAATAAAGTTTAGATCAGTTTCTTGTCAGCTGGATCAATTATGTCTTGGGTCTATCACAGGAACTCCTGCACTTCACAAAGGAAACATCATGCTGAAGAGGAAGGGGCAGGCCCGACCTTACACTAGAACCCTGGATGGCGGATGGGGATGGATGACAGTGTTTCATTTCTTCCTGGTAAGCATTTGCTTTCCATTTTCCAACTGTCTGGACTATCTAAAGGTTTGGAGCAACCTAACAAGACCACTTAGGAAATCCTTGGCATTTGAATGGACTCTGTCACTACTTCCTATTGACACAGTAGAACAGAGGTCCCCAGTTAGGAGTTTGTATTACAAAACTCCTAACAAATACAGCACTATTTGTTAAACATTGGCTTCATTACCAAAGAATGTGGAATCTCTTCACAACCCCCCCACTTCCCCAAAATGTTAAAAGTAGAGAAACTAAGGCTGCCCTAAGTCTGAGAGCCCTTCCTGGTTGGGTCTCCTTCCAAATCATGCTTTGCAGAGTTGGCATTGTTGGCAAGGGTCTCTACTTCTCCCACCTCTCTCCCCAGGAACCACCATCTCCTACACTATCCTCTGTGGATAGGAAATTGACTAATTTAGTTGCTGGTAAGAAAAACAGCCTAATAACCAGGTTAATAAACAATGTCCCATTTTGGGAGTGTTATGCTCCTTGTTAAAGCACAAAAAATACATCAAAATGTAAACAATGAACTTAGGAGCTAACTGCTCACAATGGCAGTGTGGATCCTCAGAGGACTATGCTTTTATGTCTTTATGATTTACTTTTCTACAAAAGATGAGCTCTTGAAAAGGTAAGTGAAGCTGGGCACAGTAGCTCACACCTGTAATCCCAGCTACTCAGGAGACTGGGATCAGGAGGATCATGGTTTGAGGTAAGCCAAGGAAAAAATTTTGTGAGACCTCTCAATTCAATCAACAGCAGGGTATTGTAGCATGCACCTGTCATCCCAGCTATGCAGCAAGTATAAACAGGAAGACCACAGTCCAGGCCAGTTCCAGTAAGAAGGGAGGCCCTTTTTTAAAGCACGGGAATGATGGAATCAGATCTGCATTTCAGAAATGTAGCTCTGACTGCTGGGTGGAAAATTGGGTTAGTGAGGATTATGCCCAGACACAGGGGAACTATTGGAAGAATGCTGCCATAATCCAGGTGAGAAAACAGTAAGGCCTAAATTAAGGCAGTAACAACAGGGGTGAAAAGAAAATACAGATTGAGGACATCAAGGAGATAGACCTATATATAAGATCTGGGGAGGAATTAGATGTCAGGGAAAGAGAGTGAGAGTCCTGGATTGCTGCTTAGGCAACTTGGTGGATGATGAATGCCACTCACAAGTCAGAGGGCACAGGAAGAAGGAGACAAAATCTGAAGACAGCTTGGCTGGCTTAACCTTGAACAGAGTCTGAGGAACTCAGAGCCATACTTATAGAAATACAGTCTACGTGCACCTGTAGCACAGAATCTACATACCACAATTTGTGTGTATCCAGGATACATGGTAGTTTGAACTTCAAGTCAAGGTGGGTAAAATCACCAAGGAAAGGGTGAAGAGCCTAGGACAAAACCTTGGGGAAAACATGTAGGGGATAAGCCCACAGAGGAAACTGAAGGTGAGTAGCAGTGGCAATCCAGAAGTTATCAGGAAAAAATGTGTAGATGCTGTTAAGGTCAAATATAATAAAAATGACAAGCCAGGCACCGGTGGCTCATGCCTGTAATTCTAGCTACTCAGGAGGCAGAGATCAGGAGGATCACGGTTTGAAGCCAGCCCAAGCAAATAGTCTCAAGAACTTATCTTGAAAACACCCTTCATAAAAAAGGGTTTCTGGAGTGGTTCAAGGTGTAGGCTCTGAGTTCAAGTCCCATAATGCCAGAAATAAATAAATATGACAAGTCTATAGGTTTGGTAATAAGAAGTCTCTGATAACCCTGGTAAGAGCCATTACTGTGTGGGGATTGAAGATAGTGGACGTCACTTTTCAATGGAGCAGTAGAGTAAGAGGACATAAATACCTAACAGACTTTTCTCTAAAGAAGCTTATCTATGAAGGTCAGGATAAACTGGGATGATACTAGGGTAGGGTAGAAAGAAGCTGTTACTAAATAAAAGTAACTGACAAAGCCTGGTGCTGATTTCAAAATGGACCACTGAGACTGATCCAGCCCCCTTCTCCCAAGTCAATTAGGATGATCTGGTAAGGGAGCTAGCTCTTACTGGGAGGGCTGCTTAAGGTGTTCCTACTAGATTCAACTCAACTGTTCTTCAAGATAAAAAGGAAATGAGGGAATGAAGGGTTCTAGGCTTATTTTATTTGGGGATGAGATATTTACATCTGATGTGGACTCTGGTGACAGGACTGAAACCCACCAAGCTTGGTCCAAGGCATGGGATTAAGCAGATTAATACAGACTATGGTCCGTTTAGTTAACTAAGGGAAAACATAGACCTTGGGAGAGGTTTCTAGTATCTGAGTTAAAACAGAAAGTAGAAAGGTTTTAAGTAAATGGGAAGAGAGAAGGGTAGATGCAAGTGCTTTGCCCCTGGGTTTCCTGAACTAAGTGAAAAACAGACTCAGTTATAAAACAAGGTTGTACCCACTCAGAGCTGCCTCACCCATAGCCCAAAGAGAAGGGTTCCAAACTGGAGGCCAGTAGGTAGCCAAATTCAGGTGGCTAAAAAAATAAGAGGCCAGCATCCTGTGGACTTCAGCATAGAACTCATGCTCGCAGGAGAAAAAAAAATGCTTACTTTACAGAATGACACTTCATTAGAGTGTTTCTTGTTCGTGAGAGAACACAATCGTTATTCTATTTTGAACTCAAGTCTAGTTCATTTGAGATTTGTGTATATTTTCTAGCTTGATTTCTTGAGACAAGTGTCTTGGAGGAAACTTCTGGTCATAAAATGGCTAAATGAGGGGTCTAATAAAATGTCTTCCACTTCTGAATATATGGCACTGGTGTCCACAGTATTATTCTTTCTAAATAAAGAGAGTTTTATACTTTCTATCAAATCAGAATGGGAAGAATACATTTAAGAGACTTTCTTCTCTCCACCCCAACTTTTGCAGCCTGTAAGTGTTGTGGCTGATGTTAGTCTAGCCAAGAACTATTAGTCTGATGGTGGTGACAAAAAAGGGGAAGGACTTGACTATTTAGAAATTAGGGGGTGAGGCATTGAGGTGTCCAAGAGGAAGGAGGTCTCTGACTCTTAAGTGGGTACATATATGGACTTAAAAAACTAAAAAGAGTAAACATGAGATAAAGCAAAGATGAGTTTCAGGTTTGGACAAGTTGGCCAGAAAATGAAATAGATATGGTAGACAGTAATGAGTTTGAACCTCTTGGAAATGCAGAATGGTAAAGATGAGATAATAAGTGGCAAGAATTAAATACTTTCCCAGAAATTCCTAATCTTCATATTCCTATGTGTAGTTAATATTTTCATTCTCACTTCACAAAAAAAGGAAGCTTAACCTCTTTGAAGTAGTTTGCTCAAAGTGTCCAAAAGCACACCCATAGTGGAAAGCAGAGCCAGGATACAAACAAGCCAAGGCTGGCCGACTGTAGATCCATACTCATCACTACACCACAAGTGTACGGGTGGTAATTAAACATTAAGAGTGAATGATTGTCCAGGTAACAAATATTAAGTGAGATGAGTGCAGAGACACGGGAAAATACTTAACCAAGTTAGAGAAAGCAAATGAAATCAATGAAAGGCTGCCAAGACCCTGTGGTTCTCAAGCAATGCCTGGCCAAATTGAAAGCAGAGAAGTGGGTCTGGAAAAGCCAAGACCACGGATACAACCTAGGAAACCCCTGGAGACAGAGTGAACAAAGTGTAGCAGGAGGGCTTTGAGAGTGAACGCGGACCCCTGGCTAGATCTCCCTTTGAATTCCCACTCTAGGCTCCAGCAGGGAATAGTTTCCCTGGTAAGCAAAAGAGGAGGAGGAGGAATTGCCTCCAGACGAATCAGAATTCCAACAATGAATTAGTAGTCCACAGAAAGAAAACTGATCGCAAAAGGAGCAATTCTGATGGAACAGATGTGGAGGGGCAGGCAAGAGAGGTTGGTAGAATTAAGAAAAAGATGAGCTTAAGCCCCAGCCATAAAATGACAATACATTCTGGTCAACCCTGGATGTCCTGGCATAACTAAGCACTCATTCTCAAGTGTTCCGATCTGGATGATAAATTATATGGTCACTTTATATACTAGGTAAAGAAGTGCTCATCTCAGGAGCAGAGTTAAAGCAAAGGTAATCTAAGAACTGACAGGACTAATTCCTTCTTTTTTGGACAAAGGCTTTTCTCCCACAAAGGTAATTGAAACAGCTGACTTTAAGAGATGCTATGGGGTCTGGTGGAGTGGCTCCAAGTGGCAAAGCACCCACCAAGTTAAGTATGAGGCCCCGAGTTAGTTCAAGCCCCAGTATTGCGAGGGGGTGGAGAGGGTGGCTACGATACCAGTGGTGGTCGGCAGTCATTCCATCTGAATACAAATTTCACCTCCAGTACCCCATTTTCGTCAACATTTTTCTTTCCAAACTTCACCTTTCTGTTCCCTAATACAATATTGATACATAAGAGTAGCCTTGAAATGAGGATTAAATGAGCTTTCATGTAACATGAGTAACCACTATAAAATGAGTTCCAAAAGAATGCAAATTATGAGGAATCACAAGTAAAGCAAACTGGTAAATACTAGAGCTGAGACAACAGAACCTCTAGCAGCTGCAACCTCCCCTGCACTAGCTCACTCACCACTTACACTTACACAGACTCTTGGTCTGCTTTGGTTTAGGTAAATGTGTTTGTGATGGGGATGACCAAGACATTTGCAATTTTCTTTGTGGTCTTTCAAGAAGAGTTTGAAGCCACCTCAGAGCAAACTGGTTGGATTGGATCCATCATGTCATCACTTCGTTTTTCGGCAGGTATAAAGTGTTAAAAGGTCTCTGACCAGGGAGAAGGCCCACAAAAGGCAATTCTAAGAAGACTTTTCTGTCAGTTAAGACTAAAGCGTTGTTAACGTTCCGGTTCATTTATTAATATGTATTAATATGTAATGCTGAGAAAGTAGGTATTGCAGTGTTTGGCTTCTACTTGACCTGGTAACTAAGTTGCGAAAATTAGGATTCAAACTGAAGAATCCTACTATTCCAGGATTCAGTTTTTCATGTCTTCTTTCCATTCTGGCAATGCCTTAATATATGTCCACTGAGTCAGGCCCTTAACCTGGAAGTCAGACCATTAAGTTCTAATCATGTAATTACATCCAGAACAAAACACAGGACCTATTTCTCTTTGTTCTAGTTTTAGTCAGCACTACAATGTGGTGATTAGTGACTCAACCTTTTTCTAGTTGAGTCCACAAGTACAATTACATTTTATCTAAGTTTTATAACACACACTTTTCACCAAGATTACCCTCCAAACCATCTTATGATTCTTTTTCAGTAACTCTCCAAAAAGGAGAGTATAACTAGCAATATTAAAAAAACTCAGTACAAACATCTCTTTTGAAGGATACACAGTACTTCAAAATAGATTCCTCTTGTTTTCCTTCAACTGTTCATTTAAATGCCCATCAGAGGGTAAGGGAGACCAAAACATATTTACCTAGTATTTGCCTTTCTTTCTTCTTTTAAGGTCCCTGGCTGCTATTATTTGTGACATACTTGGAGAGAAAACTACCTCCATTCTTGGGACTTTCCTTATTAGTGGTGGCTATCTGATCAGCAGCTGGGCCACAGGCATTCCCTTTCTTTGTGTGACTATGGGACTTTTACCTGGTGAGTCCACCGTAAACAGCTTACCTTCTACTATTCATGGTCCTGAAGGCCTAGTTGTATCAGATCCAGAACATCTTATCTGGTACCAAATTACCTACTATAATTTTCTTTTAGGTTTGGGGTCTGCTTTCTTATACCAAGTAGCTGCTGTAGTAATTACCAATACTTCAAAAAACGACTGGCTCTTGCTACAGCTATTGCCCGTTCTGGGATGGGACTGACATTTCTATTGGCACCCTTTACGCAATTCCTGATAGAGCTCTATGACTGGACAGGTGAGTCAGTCTGCCTTAAACTATCAACTTTGCAAGATTTAAATGTTCAGCTCTCTCTATGTGATCCCTGGAAATTGTGTGTGGTGGGGGGGGGGGGGCTGCAGTTTTGAACTTAGGGATTTGCACTGCAAAGCAGGTACTCTACTGCTCCAGCCATACCCTCCAGTCCATTTTGTTCTGGTTATTTTGGGGATGGAGTCCTGTGAACTATGTATCTAGGCTGGCCTCAAACTGTAATCCTCCTGGTCTCAGCCTCTCAAGTAGCTAGGGCTACAGGTGTGAGCTACTGGTGCCCGGCTGGAATGGAGCATTACGAGTGATCAGTTTCAAAAGGCATTGCCATAGCATGCACAGGGCTCTGAGTTAAACCCAGTATGGGGAGGCGGGGAAAGAAAAAAAACCAAAACCCTTAAAAGTACTGCCAGAGAGGAAATAAGCATAATATCTAAAGGAAACATGCTCCTCTTCCTCAGACAATTTTCTATGACTTAACAGGCTTTGCCAGCTCACACAAGCAACTCAGATTTCACTGTGGAGTTTAATGTCTGAGACAATGAGGATACTCTGTGCAGTGACAATGACACCCTGGAGAAATAAGTCACCCTCTTCCTCCTCCCTTCTCTCAACAAGGCATTCACTTATTTTTATGTCAAACCATAAATTTGCACAAATATGAACCACTTACCCCATAATTTTCTTTATCTGAGGTAACATTTGAGTTAAAAAATGGTAAAACTGGAAAAGATAATGTACATGTATTCATATGCCCATTTCTATCTTCGTAGCAGTTCTGTTGACCCTTTTCCTATGTAGAAAAGCATTCAGTAGTCTCACTGTGAATGGGAACAGCTGACAAATCCCTAAGATGGGATGGTAGAGCCTACACAGCCCATACTCTCTCTAGAAGCACTATACAAAAGTCACAAACATCAACTGCTGAAATCAACCAACTACTCAACTTCAAAGGCAAGACAGCATCTGACTTCTTTCAAGAAAAATTTAAATGCCATAAGATAAAAGAATTCCTTTTCTAAAGCTGTTTCCAAGTGATTGTCATCTAATTCTGTACTTTTGTTTAGGCCTAAATCTATGCCATCACTTCAGGGTACTTAAAAGTCCCTATTTAGAACACAATGTAATTTGCTAACATTTGAAATACTACTCCCATTAAAATAATTGATTTTTTTTTCTTTAGCAAAAATAAACTCTCCTCCATCCCATCTATTCATGCAGTCTTCTGGTTTTCCATTTCCAAGAGATTCATTTTTACAGGGATAACAGTGTATATAGCTGACAAGACAACAGACAAGTGCTTTCAGTTAAATTTGGGAGGCAAAGTAGTATTTTCAAGAATTGCTGGACTATGTAACAGGGCCTCTTCTGAGCCTATAAACAAAGTACTGTGAGGTGAAAGATTATTTTTAACTCCTTAATCTCTTTTATTTAGGTGCCCTTATATTATTTGGAGCTATTGCATTGAATTTGGTGCCTTCTAGTATGCTCTTAAGGCCTGTCCACATCAAAAGTGAGAACAATTCTGATATTAAAGGTTTGCCTACAAGTGATCCAGAGATACCAGAAACATCATACTCCAATGAGACACAAGAGTCTTCCATCAACAACAGCATAATGCAGAACACTGGACAACTTGATAAAAGCTTAACTGTCTCACAAAATCAAAGTGAAGAGTTCAACAACAGGCCTAACAGGAACCGACTGTTAATGAGTAATGAAGAATATTATAAGAAAAAGGCCATTTCACAGAGCTGCAAACAAAAGATCTTTGATGTTTCTCTCTTTCAGAATCCTTTCTTTTACATATTTACCTGGTCTTTTCTCCTCAGTCAGTTAGCATATTTCATCCCTACCTTTCACCTGGTGGCCAGAGCCAAAACACTGGGGATTAATGTTATGGATGCCTCCTACCTCGTTTCTGTAGCTGGTAAGAAAAACTATCAACCTTCTACCTATAAGGAAAAATGAACAGTTTTACAAAAGTTTATTAAACTATTAAATAACAAGAAAGGAGTTTAGAAGGCAGAAGGGAATTTTTTGAGGCCAAGTGGAGAGCACCAGGGTTCCCTATTCCCTACACAGACCTGTCACCACACCTTGCAGAATCTCCCATGATAAATAGCGGACCCTAACTCAAGTCTGACTCATTTTCATGTGTCTGACACAGTAGACATTAATTATTGTTCGATAAATACTGAATTTCAAAAGCTGGCTCAGTGGCAACAGCTCCCAGAAGCAGAAAATCCCAAGTAAACTGTAGTGACTGAAAGATATTGGTTCTATAGTTTGACTCT